TAGAGTCCAGTAGAGGGCGGAGCCTGTGAGAGATATAACGTTGGGTTACGTATTGTAACCCTTGTTATATTAGCACAGGCGGAGCCCTCTACTCATCTACTCAGGGAAATGTCTGTCCTATATCGCTCGCTGAAGAGAGGTGTAGGACGATAGTCAGGAGGCGAGGCCTCATTTTATACGGTGAGATGCGCGCGCATTCAGGTAGGCCCGCCCCGGGACCGGCTACATCTATAGAAGTCTCAGTAGGTGAATGCTTGCATAGAGGGTAGTACCCATAGAGTCCAGTAGAGGGCTCCGCTTGTGCTAATATAACAAGGGTTACAATACGTAACCCAACGTTTATTTACATACTGTACATACAGGTGTCATCTGATTGGCTGTGCAACAAGAGATCAGCGGTAATGAGGTTAAAGTTGAAATAATATGAACTTTGAGTGAGTAAACCTACTTGGCAATAAACCCGACTCAGATTCCGCCCAAGGACAAGAGATATATTATATTTATATTAGGGCTGTCAGTCGATTAAAAATATTTAATCGCGATTAATCACATGATTGTCCATAGTTAATCGCAAATTAATCGCACATTTTTTATCTGTTCTAAATGTACCTTAGAGGAATATTTTTCAAGTTTTGAATACTGTTATCAACATATGAGTGGACAAATATGCTTTATGCTAATGTTTATTATCATTTGAACAATGACAAATATGCTCATGAATATTAAACACAACAACCTATGAACATTACAAATATTCGCCTCAATTCAACCTGGGAACCTCTCTCATACAATAATACAATACAAATGGTGTGTGTGTGTGTGTGTGTGTGTGTGTGTGTGTGTGTGTGTGTGTGTGTGTGTGTGTGTGTGTGTGTGTGTGTGTGTGTGTGTGTGTGTGTGTGTGTCTGTGTGTGTGTGTTGTGTGTGTGTGTGTGTGTGTGTGTGTGTGTGTGTGTGTGTGTGTGTGTGGGTGGTGTGTGTGTGTGTGTGTGTGGTGTGTGTGTGTGTGTGTGTGTGTGTGTGTGTGTGTGTGTGTGTGTGTGTGTGTGTGTGTGTGTGTGTGTGTGTGTGTGTGTGTGTGTGTGTGTGTGTGTGGTGTGTGTGTGTGTGTGTGTGTGTGTGTGTGTGTGTGTGTGTGTGTGTGTGTGTGTGTGTGTGTGTGTGTGTGTGTGTGTGTGTGTGTGTGTGTTGGATCGTTGCCGCTATGTGCAACTCAAGGCATAGGCCAATGCTCGAACGGGAGCTGCCTGGACACTGCAATCATGTTGCGCACTATTCGTGCTGAGTGTGCTGACTTTTCGTACAATGTCCCATGTCTGGCTTCCTGCATAAAGTCAAGTGCTCGGCGCAGTTGTGGCGAAATGTCGCTCCTCTGTTTTCATTTAAACAGCTCCATATCCGTTAGCGCAGCTAGCTAGCACCAGATGCTAACAACAACAATGCACGTAAGGTCTCTCTCTCGCTCGCTCGGGCCACACCCTCCCGGTCCTCCCAATAGCCAGTCGGTGCCTGCCGGTGAGCGTGGAAGTGTGGTCTGCCACAAGCGGGCGGCAGGAGCGGGGCTGTCAGCATCAGCTTGTAGATGGTATTTTAAACTCGATGCGCTCTGAAACTACGGGGCGGCCGAGGAAAAAAAATACACATGCGTTAATTGCGTTAAAATAATTAGTGGCGTTAATTTTTTTTTGCATTAACGCGTTAACTTGACAGCCCTAATTTATATAAAAAATATATCATATTTCATGTCATACACGTGTATTGAAGTATGATGCTAATTGTACACAATAGCCAAAAGTCACAAAGCAAATTGACGAGGAGACATCGTTTAGACACATTAACAGCCTGTTAAAAGCTAAATGGGTAATGTCTCAAAGGACTACAGGATCTAAACTGGGGCCATACGCCAGCTATATTCTCCTTCCTTCCACAATTTAACTGTATCTTACAAGATAGAAAATGTAATGATTTCCCATTCACTGAGTTACACATGGTAATAATCACCAACTTGAGATTCAAATAAAGTTGTATCAGTGCTTATGGAATATTGACAAAAATCACGATGGAAGAATGGGTGAAGGATGGCAGCCAAGAGGAAGAGGTGAATCAGGCTGTCAGTGGGGGGAGGAGGGGGGCGGTGTACAGGAAGGACGATTAGTCAGCGACACACTGGAGGTCATCCATTATGTGATTGATTAGGAAGCACATATTTGACTAAATTAGTCAAGCTGCTCTCTGATTTCACAGCAGTCGGGGAGCGGGCGAGAGCAGATGAATAATGATTCATCCACTGTCTGATCTACACACGGTTGGATAAGACTTTCCTCTCATATCCTCACCATCGTCATGTGTGATTAAAGGAAACGTCCTTAAAATCACAGAATCCACAGGAAGTGACTCAGTAGGCTGTATTGGGTATTTTATCGACCATTATTATCAATATTGAGGAGTCAGTTTTAAATTTGCAAACTCATTATGAAATGTCACAGGTTGCATCTGCTATCGATTTGCAGCCACTAGCTAGTGTTTTTCAAAGAACTTGTAACTTAAATGTGTTTGTTTAACACTAGAACCGCCAGGAGTCACTGTATACCTAAAACCGCCAACAGGTCAAATGTATCCGCTATTAGAATGCATTGATTTTCAAGGTACAATGTTCTTTTATTTATCATACTAGAACACACCGCTCCTCCGCTCCCTTCACTGGCTTCCGGTAACTGCTAGAATCCACTTCAAGACACTGGTACTTGCTTACCGTGCTGCGAATGGATCTGGCCCTTCCTACATCCAGGACATGGTTAAACCGTACACCCCAGCGCGTGCACTACACTCTGCATCAGCCAAACGACTCGTTGCGCCCTCGCTGCGAGGGGGACCCAAGTTCCCATCGGCGAAAACACGTGGGTTTGCTATCCTGGCTCCAAGATGGTGGAATGAGCTCCCCATTGACATCAGGACGGCAGATAGCTTGCACATCTTCCGGCGCAAACTGAAAACTCATCTCTTTCGACTCCACTTCGAGCGTTAGAACGATTAACGAAGCACTTTTATACTAATAAAGGACTGGATTACCTAAAGCCAGTTGAGTAGCACTTGAAATGTTTGGCTCTATGAAACCTGATATACTTATATGATTCTGTTTTCTTCAAGGTTGTGTCTTCCTGGTCGAATGTACTTATTGTAAGTCGCTTTGGATAAAAGCGTCAGCTAAATGCAATGTAATGTAATGTAATGTAACACAGGGTTAACAGTGAGTTTTGATCGCACAGTGATGAAACTTATACCAATAGAATCTGTGGACTCTCAGCTTTCATATGATATATTCGTGCAGATAGCATGAAGTATAACATATCACCAACGTGAGTTATGTGCAAAGTGTCTCTCTATCTCTCTATCTATCTATATATCCATCTATCTATATCTCACTCTATCTATATATCTATATATCACTGCAGTTCTAAAGTCGCCAGCCATTTCAAATACAAAAGATTGAGAACTGAAGATAACATAATTGCATTTAAGAATTACTTACTAAATCAGAATTGTAGGGTAGTATATGAGAGAGACAATATTGACAAGGCCTATGATGAATTTCTAAAACATTTTTAAATCACTTTATGACAAAAAGTGTCCTGTGAAACAATGCAGAGAGAGACACAAACAAACTCACAGTGCATGGATCACTAATGGCCTCAACAATGCCTGCAAAAAGAAAAATACACTCTATAGACAATTCATAAAATGTAGAACTTCAGAAGCAGAAAATAAAGATATAAGAATAAATTAACCCATATTCTGAGGATATGTAAAAAGGAATACTATAATAAAATATTAGAGAATAATAAGAATAATATGAAAGGTTTATGGAAAGTATTAAATAGTGTCATTAGAAATGGAGCAAAACATTCGGTTACCCTGAGTTTTTTGTGGACAAAAATAATGTTATTAATAATACAGAAGATGTGGTTAATGGTTTTAATGAATTATTTGTAAATGTGGGGCCAGATCTGGCAGAAAAAATTAAAACCGTAGAAACAACTAAAGGGGAAGATACGGACCTCTGGAATGAAAACAATAGCTAGAAACAATAGAAGAAAAATAAATCATATACTGTGCGAAAATGTAAAAGCAAATCCTCGACCGATTGGAATAATATTGATATGATTATAGTAAATAGCAAAAGTTATACCATTATATAAAACTGGGGATAAACACCATTACACAAATTACAGACCTGTTTCATTGCTCTCTCAGTTTTCCAAGATCCTTGAAAAGCTTTTTACAAAAAGACTTTTTCATGGAAACACATCAGCTTTTGGACGACAGTCAATATGGATTCAGGAAAGATAGATCAACATCTATGGCACTAATGGAATTAAGTGAGGAAATAGCAAACTGCATGGACAATAAAAAAACAAGCAGTGGGAATATTTATAGACTTACAAAAAGCATTTGAGACCATCACAATATTTTACTGACAAAACTGGAACGGTATGGCATCAGAGGGGTGGGATTAAACTGGGTGAGAGATTATTTAAGCAACAGACAACAATTTGTTGAATTTGGTGAACATAAATCAGAATACATGAACATAACTTGTGGAGTACCTCAGGGGTCCGTGTTGGGTCCAAAGCTGTTCATAATATACATCAACAACATTTGCAGAGTATCAAATATATTGAAATTTATTTTATTTGCAGATGATACTAATATTTTTTGTTCCGGTGACAATTTGAAAGAGCTAATGGAAGTGATAACAGCAGAAATGATTGAAGTAAAACATTGGTTTGACACAAACAAATTATCATTAAATATAAGCAAAACAAAGATTATGTTATTTGGAAAACATAAAACAAATCCACAGATACAATTAATACTAGATAACATACACATAGAAAGAGTATATGAAATTATGAGTATATGAAAAAAAAAGTAAGAATAACTTGCATAATGATTTAAAGGACAATCATTGATCAAGTACACTGTAAGCCCCAATAAGTAAACTTAACTCAAAAAAATGAGAGCAACTGATTGCCTCAAGTATTTTAAGTTAATCAACTCAAAACTTACAATTTTTAAGAACTTAAATAATTGGATTAAATGCTACATGTACCTATTGATTACAGTAAAATTAAAATGGCTTATTAAGTCAACTCAAATATGTTCAGGTACTGTGACTTAAACATTTGAATTCACCTCTACTAATGGATTAAGTTACCAGAACTTAAAGACATAAGTACTCAAAGTCTTTTTTTTTGGGTTAACAGAACTCAATCTTTATTATTTCAACCAAACCAAACACATTGACTTAGTCAACTCAAAATCACATAACTTAAAACTTAAAAACATTGACACAACTGATTGCCTCAATTGAATCGAGTGCGACTAACTTGAACAGCTTTACTACATTTCTTATTTTCTAGCCCTCCTATTTAACATGCTGTCCTGTTAACATTTACAAGACAGTAAAATAAGTAGTCATAAAAAAAAATGCAAAGGCAATTGTACTTTTGGCACATTTTGGTTAAAACCTGAATAGAGCAACAACTTTGATAAAATCACAATGACAGTCTGAACCCTTTAACTGTAAAACTCTAAAATGTAAATGAATTACATTAACAAGTATCAAATCTTCATCTGGATGAGTTAAAGTGCAACAACAACAAACAAACAAACGCATAAACACACATTCACATGATTATGCCGGTTAATCAGAAATATTTGGTATTATTAAAGTACAAACAGTCATCCCTCAAAATCAAAGATACTTTGATGTGAACAATGGTAAACAGTACACATTTGACATTAATACAACATGTACAAGTAAAAGAGAACATTGAGCAGCTTGACCACCTGGCTGAAAACCTGCAGCAACTGGTACAGCAACTTTCTTAAGACATTTTTATTTCAGAAGGAAATCACTTTGAAGTAGAGGCAAAATGCCTTAAAATGCCCCACCTGTTTTTCAGATGGATTTCTACAGATGCATCAGCAAGTCATTCTTGAGGGTCTGCAACTTGGGCGACAATTTACCATCTTCCAGACCAAGTAAAACCTTCTGAGTGAACTCGAAAGTGTTTGTCAGTCCTTTGGGATAGCTGAGGTGTAGTGCATAAATTAGTCCAAACATTACCAGGAATGCATCTGCAAGTCTGGCGAGGCTGACCACAATATCATTTTCGATGACAACAGAGATGGTCACAGGCTGATATTGCACTTGACTTGTGCCATTGTCACTGGTGACAGTAAGGAGGGCCACTGCAACACCTCCAAGCTCTGATTCGGACTCTTCCTAAATGAATGAAAGAGAGATAATAATCACAAATTGGATGTTGGTCATGCATTACATTACATTACATGTTACTTGTTATATGTCAGATTCCTCCGCGTACCGCTAGCGGGAGCTGGCGTACCACCAGTGGTACACATACCACAGGTTGAGAACCACTGTCTTAAGAGACTGTTTTAATTTCTAAAACAAATGGCCGGAACCAGATACTAAAGCTGCATTACATTACATTACATGACATGTTACTTGTTAGACGCTTTTTATCCAAAGCGACTTACATACTCCATACTGTGGGCAATCCCCACAGGAGCAATCTGGGGTGAAGTGTCTCAGGGACACAACGACATGCTGACTGCAGTGGGGTTTGAACCTGTGATCCGAACACCAATGCTCTATCGACTGCGCCACACGCGCCTCGCAGGAACATTTTAAAAAATCGTGATTTTCTGTGTGGCAATATCTTTTGACTGCAACTCTTGGAGATATGTTTTCTAAGTTGTTCATATTTTAGTTAGAACTATGTTTTAGAGAGTTGTTTTGTCAACAGACTACACATTTAAAGGTGAAAAACAGGTGTTCTACACCAAAGAATCAGACGAGCTACCAGTGAAACCAAGTGCCAGGAGATAAAACATATCTAATAAAAGTTTTACTTAACTTCAGTATCGCTTCAAACAAAAAAAACGATTCAGTTCATTTGTATTTGGGTGAAGGAAAACAGACCAAAACCTCTGCAAATCACACAAACTATATGGATGGATAGACAGAAACAGGATAAGTGCAAACAAATATTTGTATTTTAATGAACTATTCACTTAACATAGAGTGGTACTGTTAATGAATTAAGGAGACTCACTGTGCAGGTTCGGAAAAATCCAGAGGTGTCCTCTTGCAGATACACAGGAAGGGCATGGATAACGGTGGTACGCCTGGTGTTGATGTCGTGTAATTCCTATAACGATAAAAATACAAGCGTACAAACTGTTGACTGTGAAGTTTACTGAACAAACCTGTCAATCCAATCAGAACATATATCCACAGATAACCTGTTCACATCTTTAATGCAATCAGACAAATAGCAAAAACAAAGTGGGCTAATTGTAAAATTCAAAAGATATTTTTTTAATCTGTTTAACGTTAGATGTTCAACCTTTGAATTGTAAAATAATCTCTTTACCTGTTCATCGTGGATTTTTAAAATTTCAGCCAAAGCCTCAGCTGTCTTCCCAGATTTGGACGCCTTCTGTCTAAATATGGCCATCAGTCGAGGAAGATGGCGGTCAAAAGCAGCGTAGAACGTGTTGGGCAGATTCTGGTTTGTAATCCGTTGGAACTCTGCATACACCTATTTAAAAAACAGAGCAGAAGGACAATACAGCAATGTCAATTAGTCAGTTCCAAATAAATCAAACTAGGTTAAAGTGGTATCGTCCTTACAAATGTAATAGATCCTCCAAGTTTGACCAGTCAGTTCCTTCCCTGTGGCAAGAACGAGAACTTCACCTGGACTGTTCTTTTCCTTGCATTACATTACACCACAGGGAAGGAGCTGGAACTTTGAAGATCTATGACACTCCTATATACAGCAAATAGCCACTATAAGAGTCACAGAATGTGCCATTATCAATAAAGAAGAAAACAGGAAAAGAGAGCTAATCCATATTACCTCAGACTCCATTTTGAGAGCAGGCCAGAGGTCCATGAGCTCGTTCACTGCCGGGCATGTCCTCACTATGGTCTGTCGCCGCAGTGCAAATGTGGTGTGCATAATCTTTTTAATGAGGGGTAGGTCCATCTCAGTCTTCTTGACTTCCTCAACAATTGTCTGCCTCAAGTGCTCAAGACTTGAGGGATCCTCTCCTTGGGGAAGGTTGAACAAATCCTATATTTAAAATGTAATGTAAGCTACTGCCTAATAACTTCTTAAACATCCATTGAGTTAATGTTAGTATGGTAAATTAATTCATGGACAACAAATGGACAAGCGTTCACTACCAAGCCTGTTAATAATCTAACATTGTTATATTCACTTTAACATTACCTTTCTCTGCTCTGCCCTGTGTGTGTGTGTGTGTGCGTGTGTGTGTGTGTGTGTGTGTGTGTGTGTGTGTGTGTGTGTGTGTGTGTGTGTGTGTGTGTGTGTGTGTGTGTGTGTGTGTGTGTGTGTGTGTGTGTGTGTGTGTGTGTGTGTGTGTGTGTGTGTGTGTGGCCTCGCACTTGTTGAACCCGTATACAGAGGTTGAAACCTGGGTGAAGGAGAGTGTTAAACGTTAGCAGCGGCTCTCGTAATTCAGCAGCGAGGAAGGGAACACAAACACACACAACCCTCCGCGCCTCGTGGTTTACAGTGTGGTTTATCTCCTTCAGACTAAAGCTGAACAAATCCTATATTTAAAATGTAATGTAAGCTACTGCTTAATACATTCTTAAACATCCATTGGGGAAATGTTAGTATGGTAAATGATGAATTAATGGACAACAAATGGACAAGTGTTCACTACCGAGCTTGTTTATAACTGACAACGTTATATTCAATTTAACATTACCTGTCTCTGCTCTGCTCCGTCCCGTGTGTGTGGCCTCACGCTCGTTGAAACCGTATAAAGAGGTTGAAACCTGGGTGAAGGAGAGTGTTAAACTTTAGCAGCGGGTCTCTTAATTCAGCAGCAGCGAGGAGAGCACGGAGGGAGCACACACAATCCTCCGCACCTCGTGGTTTACAGTGGATGAAAATGTTAGCTTGCTAACTGTTAGCAAACTAGCTAGCTAGTGACCGTGTTAAATAGTGACTTTCAGTCCAATGCCTTCGGGGTTGCTCGTAGTAAATTAAGTAAATGGTTGGGTATATTATGACACACATTTGAGTATAAATTGATTAAACTAACATTGAAGGCTTTTATTAGGAAACCTACCTGTTATGTTAGTGTTTCAACGGCTGCCGTCACTACGAGCACCCACAACCACAATGCATTTGGCTGAACTTTTTGAATACATAATTAGCTTAGGGGCAATGACATTTTTCATCATATATACAACAAGTGACAGCCCTATTTTGGCACCAAGTTTCCACAACTACATATCTTACAAGTTAACATTATACAGTAACTGTGCAAATAATTCAGGCATTTCTGTGAATCTGCTGACTCAACCTATGGCTAATGCTAGCTAACATGCATGTATCTGGCTAACATCAACACTCTCTTTCACATGTTTAATATTTAAAAAAGTGAAGAAATATGAATATTGCACTTACAGTGAGACCAATGATGCTGATTACCACCGGAAAGTGTGGAAATTAAGTGTGAAGATCCACCTTATTGCAGGTATTAGCTGCATGCGCTGCATCCCACTTTCGTTCGACAGTTAGTGACGTCAGACACACAATAAGCATTAGAAATTAGTACAGTTCAATGTATATGTTTAAGTGATGCTTACTTAATCGGCCAAATAGTTCAAGTTAATCAAAGATTATCAGTTTACTTAACTCAAAAACGAAGAACAGTCACAGGAACTGAATATATTGAAGTTAGTAGAACTTTTTTTTTTTTTTAAGTTTACACTAATTAATCTATTTAATTATTTTGAACGTTCGGGTTTACAGTGTAAGGGGTGGGAATTAATAAGCATTTGCTTCCTCCTGCTCCCTTTCGGACACATATGATTTATTATTATTATTAATATGAAGACTTTTTTTTGTTGAATATATAAATATTATCATGAATGTGGATAAATACTGTATTTTAACAATACGGTATTCTGTTTTTCACATTTTTTATTTGTTATTTTTGTAATCTGTTCGAAATAAAGATTGAAATGAAAATCTCTCTATCTATAAGGAACCGCAGTAGACAATAACACATAACACAAACATATAAAATACAGAGAAACATAACTAAGAAAACAAAAGACAAAAAAGCAGTCACTACATTGTGCACATTAGGACAGTAAGAAAGGTGCACTACTTATTATTACTGCAAGAGCAGCTGGTGGTAAGGACTTCAGACAACTTCAATTTAAAACATACTATTGAAATACATGCAATACAATGGTTCTGGTGCATTTTAACTGGTAATATAACAGTCTCAATGTTATACTGTTGCCTCTGTTACGCCTTTAACCTAAAATAAGAAACGTTAAAAGGTCCCATGTCATGGCCATTTCTACTGATCATAATTTCATTGTTGAGGTCTACTAGAATAGATGTATATTCTGCAATGTTCCAAACTCACATTAGTTTCTCATACAGCATCTCTGTATAGTATGTGTATTCACTCTCTGTCCTACACGGCTTGTTGGAGTTCCTGCCCTCCCCCCCCTCCCTATGAGCCCAGTGTGCTCTGATTGGTCAGCTCGCCCACTCTGTTCTGATGAGTCCACCACCGTTACAGCGGAACATCAGTGATTATGTGTTACAATGGCGTTAGCAAACAGAAAATGACACCAGCAATGACAAACAGATGAGAATGCTGCGTGGGGTCTGGGTGCCGTGTTGGCGGGACGTTGCGGGGCTCGCTGCTGCGAGGAGCGGACAGTGTGAGCTGGATTACTGGTGTCGTTTCCTGGTTTCCTGGTTGCTGCGGGGGATCTGCGAGTGAGCGAGATACAGCGAAGCCCAGCCTGAACCCAGCCCGAGCACATACACACACCTGCAGCCTGGCTGTGAGTCTGCGTGTGTGCTCAGAAAGAGCCTAGGCCAAGCCCCGCCGCGTCTCGCCGTCTAAGGCTGAGTTCAGGCTGAGAAATCCGCCGATCTGCAGCTGTGAAAAGATTGTGTGTGTATGTGAGGAAGTCAGCGGATTGGTCCATTTGGAACAATCCGGAGACATTACGTCACTATACCCAATACGTCACTGTACTTACTACACTATAAGAAGAAAACAATGGAAAAAGACAAATGTCCAACGAGGCGTTCTGGGGCAGCATATACAGGTCTTTTCTGTGTTAGAGTTTTACTCCCTACAGGGTGTACTTTGAGGGTTTGTGACTCTGCAGACCGTTAACATGCATAAAAAGCTACATAACACACAAGGGGACGGTTAATAACTGGAAAAGCATGACATTGGCCCTTTAAAGTTCCGTTCTGGGGGTCATGTTGGTTTGGAGTTGGTGCAAAATGCAAACCAAGATATGTATCCCTTCCTTTACCCATTTTTTAGTAGATCAATGTCACGGTCACACACTGGTCAAAGATAATCATTTATAAATCATACTACTGTATTTTTTCTTATATACCTTGGACCAAGAGATTTGAAGATTTGAAACTGTGTGACGTGAAGTCCAATTTAGATTATAAATCCCATGGTCTGTCCCATAAACTCAATGTGAAAGAATAATTTGGTATGAGCGAGTTCCTGCATGGGAATGTGAGGAATGTGAATGTGTCAATTATCAAAAATGTCAATGCTGGGAAAAGGCGTGTACAATATTCATAGACATTTCCAGATTCATCTTTGAAACCTTTTTCTCTTATATGTGTTGATATGTGTTCAGGTGGGAGGGCACACCATGCTGCCGATCCGCTGGATGCCTCCAGAGAGCATCATGTACAGGAAGTTTACCACGGAGAGTGACGTGTGGAGCTTCGGGGTGATCCTGTGGGAGATCTTCACATATGGCAAACAGCCATGGTTCCAGCTCGCCAATAATGAGGTATACTATTATCCATTCAAATTAAACCGTCGGTTATCTCCCAAGTACTAAAGGTGTTTTAAGAACCATACTGGGAGATTCTACTCATACCTCACATTTCTTTAATTACTCACTACCTGAAGAACAAGGCTGTTTTTTGTTTGTAAGGAAACATGTTGAGTGGTGAGTGAGTGTAGGGAGAGTCCTGTCCTTTTAGTGAGAAGGCCCATTTTGTAGGACCAGACAGGAAGCCAGCTCAGCAGCTGCTGTTGGTATTGAGTGAGTTTGTATTGATGAACAGGCCTTAATCCCTGCTGATTCACTTAATCTGTTTGTGCTCTTGGGAAATATAAAGAGAATTGTGACGTTTGAGTAATGCAGAAATCAGAAAGAGATCATTTCGATAAACAGTCACACAAACACCATATTGTACAACCACATTAGGCGCATTCACACCGCAGTACTGTTCCCACAAAGGTTCATCAGAACTTAGTTCATGAGAACTCTTTAGTTCTCATGAACTAAGTACATCGCGTCCACACCAGAATAAGTCCCTGGGGGAGGATTAGACAAATGAAGCCGCTGACGTCACTTCGTCTTCTTCTGCTTCTGCTGGCAGGCCGCAAACCACTTCACGGCGTATACTGCCACCCGAAGTCCCCGGCCGGAAGTCCTCGGAGTTGGGCCTTCCGAGTAAATCGCCAGAACGCCGACACCTCCTCATCTCCACCGCTCCCATGTTTTCTTTTGTGTTGCCATAAGTTAGTCTCTCTGCGTTTCTGCGCTGGGCTAATGCTAATAATGCTAATGCAAGGATAATAAAATGGCGGCGTTGGAGTTTTACGGGGCGTGGTTTGCATTCCGCCCAGCCAATCAGACATAGGAACCTTTTTCTCCCACGAAAGTCCCTGCTCTCTAGCAGGGACGGAAAAGGGGGTAAAAAAGGTTCTGATTAACACATTTTTGTTCCGGCTCTTTTTGGTGCGAACGCAACATTTCGGAACTATATCGGAACTAAAGTGGGAAAAGTACTGCGGTGTGAACGCGGCTACTGGTTTGAGGAGTCCTCTGCCGACTTCATTGGCCCTGTTCTGATATCCATGCACCTCGTGGCTTCTCAAATCAGTATCTATGTGTCAGTTATATAACAAACAGAAAAAAAAAATCACTATTTCAGTTTAGGCCTTTATAGATAGCAGTAAATCATGTATTTCTTGTCTAAAAGTCTGTTTTCCAACCATGAGGGGAGATCATAATGTATTTCAATTTGTAATACAGAAGAAACACAAAACAATATAGGTTGTATTTCTATTCTTACTCTCACTACCTGGTCAAATTCCTTGAGGGTAGACAATGTCATGTGGAAAGTGACAGTGAGGCACTTTAAATTATTGCAAAGGAAAACAAAGAGGAAATGAAGCATTTGCAAAAAGTGCTGAGCATAAGGAAAAAATTAATAGACCCTCTTACTGTAGACTGCAGGGAGCAACAGATATGTCTGAGCTAGTCTCACGGAATATTAAAGGTCCAAGCAGCAATACTGTGAGTTCACAGCATTCAACGTAATTTTTCGTCATTGAGATAATGATAACAATTATTTGTAATTTAAAAAATTGATGCATTTCAGTGCAACAGCAACAACAATATATTTTTAGAGCTGTTAAGCAACCTTTGATTATGGTTAATTTTAGAAATGTTTCACTTGCACTGACTGATAAACAGCACTTATCGTTTTTCCCAAGCTACAGTAGACGTGATATAATTTCAGCGCTGTTACTATGGGGATGGAAACGTTCTGTTTACACGTCAATGACGCAGTAACGCAGAGCTACAGTAACGCAGGAGTGGGCTTGGTTAAATCTTAATTGAGTTGGTAAAACGATAGATCCGTACCGTCCCAGTCCAAGGGTATTTTGGTAGCAGCTGAAGATGCTCTAGTCTACAGGTTTCCTCGCTTTGATCACAGTGGGCACTGTGGTTTCTGCATCATGCCTTCGAGACAATTTTATTATCTGTTACCGGTGTATAAAATTGCCTATGAAGATTGATCTTTTAATGTCTGACTATACCTTGGACATCTAAAATTATCTTTATTTGTTCCTATGTCTTTTCATGCATCTATCTCAATGTTATGGCTGTTTTTGAATACTTCCCACTAGTGATGTGTCGCGAACGAACGCTCCAAGAGCCGGCTCTTTTAAGTGAACGACGGGAACCGGCTCGTTTTGATTTTTTTTTGTTAAGTAATACAAGACAGAATGATATCATGATCTCTGCACTACGGGTGCTCCGTGCATGCATGCAGTGACATGTAATATCCAAGGATTAGAGACTGTTGGATGCTGCTGTTTTGAGCATTGCAATATATTTATTTTCTCTATGTTATTTATTTATGATTATCTTTAGGCTCAGCAAAGATTTGATGTCAGCTGTTGCTGTCTTTTCTTCTTTAGTTAATACTGAAATAGAGCCCTGCTGTTTTGTTAGGGCTTTTTCTTTAAATACCATTTTAAAATGTCGATACAGTAGCCCCTTTTTTTAAATGTCTCTGCTTCAGTTTTTATTGGTGTTGCGTGGTTCTACAAGCAAGTGCATTCATTGGGTGGTATCAGAGAGTTACAAGGGTCTGTAAATACAATGAAAACATTTGGCCACAGTAAATCATTTATATTAAACATGTAATTTTTACTTTTGAATACTAAAGTACAAAGGATGTATTGAACAATTTAAGTGATATATGTGTACACATATAAATAATTTGTCAAAACAGGGCTAAATTTGATTAGAAAAGATATATGTGGTAAAATGCCGTTTGGGAGCCGAAAGAGCCGGCTCTTCTTGGTGAGCCGAGAATGATCCAAATGATCCGGCTCACTAAAAAGAGCCGGAATTCCCATCACCACACCGAGCATCTTTGACTGTATTGTAGGTCTGAGGACTTGTAGTAAGTAGTACGTTTTAGGAGTAAGAAGATCTAGGCAACCCCAAAATAGTTTTAGGATAGTTCCCCGAGGTCTGGTTTGAAGCCTATGGTTTCAATACAGATTTTTAACTGAATTTACCTCCAAAATATTTTCTCTTTTGGTAAAAAATGTTTAAGCTCCTAATAGGACAAAAACACACTATCCTTAAACGGGTGAATCTTCTCTCAAGCCAGGATTCCAACAGGCATGCTGTCTTTCCTATTATATTAGATGGATAATTCCAAATGTAGATGCTCCTATTTCCTCTATTGAGATATCCTGAGTATCTTATGTTATTTATGTTTATTTATTTATGTTATGTTTATTTACACTTCTCTGAAATGTTGCAATATTGGATTCCTCTTCTCACCAACCCGACTACTACCACAAGTCTCTCGTCTTGGCTCAAACTTGTGAATTCACAGTGACCATCTTAACAGACAAAAATATTGTGTTTTTATTAGGGCCGGGACTCGATTAAAAAAATTAATCGAATTAATTAGAGGCTTTGTAATTAATGAATCGAAATTAATCGCATTTTTAATCACATATAAATATTTGACCTGAGAACAGTGAGAAGCAATTTTTTTCACATAGATTTTAGTATACCATTAGGCGCATTCACACCGCAGTACTTTTCCCACAAAGGTTCATGAGAACTTAGTTCATGAGAACTCTTTGAACCTGGGGGTGGATTAGGCAAATGAAGCCGCTGACGTCACTTCTTCTTCTTCTGCTTTGGGTTTACTGGCAGGCCGCAAACCACTTCGGCGTATACTGCCGCCCAAAGTCCCCGGCCGGAAGTCCCCGGAGTTGGGGACTGGCTTCAGTAGAAGCTGCTGGGACTCCCAGCAGCCTTCCGAGTAAATCGCTAGAACGCCGACACCTCCTCATCTCCACCGCTCCCATGTTTTATTTTGTGTTGCCATAAGTTAGTCTCTCTGCGTTTCTGCGCTGGGCTAATGCTAATAATGCTAATGCGAGGATAATAAAATGGCGGCTTCACAAAACTTTTTGGGAGTTTAACGGGGCGTGGTTTGCAATCCGCCCAGCCAATCAGAAATATAGCTCTTTTCTCACAAGAGAGCCGTACGAAAGTCCCTGCTCTCTAGCAGCTCTCTGCTCTCTATAGGGACTTTCGTGGGGGTAAAAAGGTTCTCATGAACTAATTTTAGTACCGGCTCTTTTTGGTGTGAACGCGATAAAAGAGGCTAACGTCCACGCTAGCTTCCACGCTAGCTGCTATATGTTTTGCATTGAGGTGATACTTGAGGCTTGATGTGCTGCGGTGATATGCAAATTCCTTTTTGCATAATTTGCACACAACCGTGCTCTTATCGACGCTTCCATCCGTCCGTTTTTTAAAACAACATTTCCCACTGTTGTTCACTGTGGTTTGTTGTTGTCTGAAGTCATGAACGTTAGTTGGTGCTCCAGTATAATCGGTACGCCTGAAACTCATCCAGTGAGAAACGTTCCGCGGTGCAAAAATAAGTGCGATTAAAATGTGTTAATTTTTGTGTGATTAATTAATCTTAATTAACGCGTTAAAGTCCCGGCCCTAGTTTTTATACAACACTGGATGTCAGTATTTCAGAATATGCTAGACTTATCTACCTGCATCAAAAAGTTTTAACACTTAAATAAAAAGCAGTCGCTGGTAAGCGTTTGACATGTTCAGTGTGAGCTACAATCGCTGCCTGTCAAATGACCCGTAACCGTGACAGATTGTGTGTGTTACTCTTTATATGTGATGTATTATTTTATAACCAGCACTTTTGTGAATAAGAACATACGTTATGTCTTGTTTAAGTGTGGAATTTTCACCACATTTAACACTGTTTTCTCTGTCCTCCCAGGTGATCGAGTGCATAACTCAGGGGAGGGTACTGGAGCGCCCCAGGGTCTGTCCCAAGGAAATCTACGACATGATGTTGGGTTGCTGGCAAAGAGAGCCCCAACAGCGCCACAATATTAAAGACATTCAGAAAATGCTGTTTACTATGATGAAATCCACACCGGTCTATCTGGACATACTGGGATAGGAATCGATTATGAGGGGAAAGGAGCTGTATGTATTCCAATTTGGACTAGACATTTACTGCAATAGAAATGAGTACACTTGATCGGAAAGAAAACAAATGTCTTGGAGCGGAAGCCTGGACTGGACTCACAGCAGTATGTGATGGAAACGTGATTTGGGATTTAGGAACTGACTGTTCCTAACATCCAACTGCCTGACAGATAAGGATTGGAAAGGACAAACTAAAGTGAAGTACTTTGCGTTGAACTAGATTGGAATGAACCGGATTACATTGCATTGCATCAAATTATAATCAAATGAAATGTCTTTGACCTTGCCTAAATTGGTCGGGGCTTGTTTGGTCCAGTCTTGCTCCATTTCGGACAAACTCATGTTCAAAGAATGGACTATGAAGATTGGATTGCATCACACCGGACTGAACTGGAATAACCTGATTGTACTGGTCTGGTAGAGTTTGATTTATTATCCTTTTTAGGTACCATTATTTCCTGTCCTTTACATCTTCATTTCAGCCCGTCTAAATCAGTGCAGCTTCTGTTCTACCTTGATGAAGCCTGGTAGAATCTGGCTGAAACTTGGAATATTTGAAAAAAACTAGACCTAGATTGTATTGAGCTTTCCCTAAACACTTTTTAGTGTCCCTTAGTACGTCAGATAAGGGTTGGTTTGGCTCAACTAGCTTGGTTTCAACAACCCTACATTAGAGCAATCTTGATTGGTAATTCTTATTTGGCTTGTCCTTTTGCCTGGTCCTCAAACAGGAAATCATCTTCAACTTCTTCTGTGTAGTATAGAAGAAGTTCAGAGGGAGAACATGTATACAGTAATCTAAAGAAATGTTTTAGCGATTTTGAAATAAGATACTTGTGTGTTCTAGGACATCGTTCCCAGGCTCGTCTATTTGCCTTGAAAATTGTACATGCCTTGGTCTAGCCATTGTTGCTGGCCAGATCAGACCTAATGTCCTTCATGGAGAACTGGAACGTTTTTTTATGGTAAACATTCCCGAAGATCTTCATGATTCTCCACAGACGGATCTGCTAAAAATGTCTGCTAGGTAAATCTGTTAGGACCTACTTTTGGGTGAGGTTCAACACTGTTCATTGGAACATTGAAAAAGTGGGTTAACAAGAACGGACAGAACGCATAAGTCAAACAGCAGCTACTGTGTTTTTAAGTGGCAGTCCATTTCAGCATGCTTCAATGTTTCATCTCCAAAGCCTTCATAGATACACCTTCTAGTACTGGACTTCTGTTATCCCACTGAGCGGTTCACTTCTGGACCAGCCTGACCGGACCTTCCAATCCTGAGCCTGGAGGTGTGGCCTGAGTGACCGTCTGTCGCCATAGAGATGGACCTAAGTGCCTCCTACTTCTTTCTAAACACTTGGAACTTAAAAATATTAGTCTTTAAAAAAAAGAGCACTTTTACATTTTGTTTACCTGCTTAAAAATTGTTCACTAGCTGTAAACCTTCCTCGTTTTTCTTACAAACTTTCAGCAGTCGATGTATTGCAAAACTAAAAAATTCAAAAACAGAATAAAATTATGAAAATATGAAGAAAACATTTAACCCATGGGGAATAAGCAAACATGAACAAAAGCAAACTTTTTGTACCAGCTTTACAAGAATGTTGGAGGTGAAGTTACGTTTTCTGTTTTTAAAATAATTCATATTCTATATATTTTTTTTATTTTTTTTTTATCTCAAATCAAAGAGTGGACCTCTGCCATGCTCCAAAGCCATTGGAATATTCTGCCACCGGGTAGGAAAGAACTGATCACCACTGAAAGACAAACACTTGGCTGGGATTAAGCTTTCCAGGATTACTCAAAAGAAGCCTTTTTGTGTAGTGTTACATACCTGGATCCACTCTGACGTCAGTGAGCTGTTTGGCAACAGGAAGCCAAAACTGAACGGTAACAACGGAGCTACCAGTCAACGAACAAAATCTTTTTTAACAGAATGTATATATTGTGAATCTCTGTCTTAAGATATGTTAACTTATTTACTTTCTCCAGTTCGATTATTTTAAGCTTCTCGATGTGTTGTTTTATGGTTCAGTGAAAGCCAATAGTTATTTTGATAATCTTTCCTTCTAGTTGTAATTACTGGTATTATTTACTTTATGTAGTCATGCAATGTCTTTTCAGCATTTTAATAAGATAAACAACATTTAAATCATCTCTGTTCATTGTATTTGTTTTCTCATGTATTTATCAGGGCAGTAGATGAGGAAAGATGTGCAGTTATGGGCCATTGTTTTATTATCCTGCTCAGAGTGCAAGTATTGTTCTAGGTTAATGTTTTTAAAGGAACAGTGAACAGTGTTTTGCCTATTTAGGATATGGAACCATGGAAAAAAAACTACTAGTCAAGCTCCCCCACAATTTTCTACCAGAACTCAATATTTGGCTTATATTTCGGCCACTTTGGGATCCCTTTTCCATTATATTACACTGTACATTTGTTATGTTATACTGAATGTTTGATCTAATACAGTTTGGCTACCTGGTTTGCAATTAATTATGATCAGAAAAGCACTCTGAGAGGCTTTAATAAAAACGGTGGTGTTTGCCGTTTTGCCAGATACTTCTAATATACTGTATACTGTATATAGTTAGCCTCACTCACTCAACTGAGCATGCAGATATCTGTCTACGTCCTAACATGCTCATTACATTTTTCCATGCAGGTGATTAGGAAACATTATGATTTAATATACACCCATTTGCGACCTATGCCATTGGTCCAATCTCAGCAGGAATGACCAATCAGGGCAGGAGGTCATTAGCTAAACATTCTATACAGGTTTGATATTCTGTCAAAGGGCATTTGATCATAGCCCATAACAATTAGTAAAAACTGTTTCTCAATGACACCTACCAGCAATCAAAAGCCAATGCTCTGTCTATTAGCTTGACACACAAAACCCATACTTAACTGTGGATGAGTCGGAATAACAGCAACATGACTGCTCAATGTGTGTCCTACACTAAGCCATACCTGTATTAAGGTGTCACCTGTGTAAAGGTAAAGAACGCGTCCAAAGGCCACAGCGGGAAAATAACTAAGAAAGGTTTGATGGTCTGATACTGTAGCTGTCGGATATCTATAAGTAAGCCACTGTCATACTATTCTGTGAACTGTTGTTTGATAATCATGTAACCAATGTCGTTGTCTCAGAAATAGTTTCTCAAAGGGACCTTTGTGTTAAAATAATTGAACTTTGGATACACTTGGCATTATCTTGGTAACTGAGAGTGCCCCGGAAGCTCACCAGGAAGTGCGGAAATCTGTGCATTTCATATAAATGTACCAAGATTGAGCAGATGCATACACCTGTGCTGTCTGGGAAGATGTTTTGGTTAAGTCTGATTCCAATGCATATATGTGCCGACTTGCGTTGTAAGTATTAAATTACACATTTATGTAAAACATTACAACCACAATGTCAGGACGAAATAGAGCCAAAGTTATCTTACAGATTGTTTGAAACATCAGTGAAAACTTTTCCGGCATATCTTTTTAAACCCTTTCAATAACTACTGTATGATACCATTTCTTGTGTTATTTAAAGTGGTTATTTTTGGGTTGAACTGTTACCATGTCTATTTCTCACAAGCATGAATATTATGAAGATGGAACTTAAGGAGCGACAGGAAACTTCCGCTTCAGTAGCTCTTCGTCCTATGTGCAGCAGCTAACAGATTCCTTGTCTTCACACAACTGAAAATGTCTGTTGGAAAATAAGACAATTTAAAATTGGTTGTGGATTGGCGGCATTCATTGTATTTAGTGCTTACTGTGATATTATTTCTCTAGATGTCCTCCAGGAAGTAAGGCTTTACCAGGTTTACTAGTTGCCATGGGGGGAGCAGCTTTATTAGAACGTGCTTGGTTTACAAGTGAACCACTTTCTATATGAGCAGAAAAGGTCTTTGGACTGTGTGTCGTACGGAGGTCTTTGCATAATGGGAGTTCAGTGTAAATGGTAAATGGACTGTACTTATATAGCGCTTTATCCAGTCTTTAAGACCCCTCAAAGCGCTTTACATACTACATGTAGTTCACCCATTCACACCCATTCATACAGAGCAGTGTATGTTACTCTAGGAACTAACATGCATACACATTCACACACCGTTGGCCATGCCATCGGGAGCAACTCAGGGTTAAGTATCTTGGCCAAGGATACATTGACATGTTGACTGCATGGGATCAAACCCACAACCTTCTGGTTGAAAGACGACCGCACTCCCTCGCAGCCACAGTCGTCCCACAGTGTGTGCTCATTACCCTAGGGTCGCTTGTAACCAAATACACCCAGCAATTGTTATACTGTATTTGACTTTGCCATCAAAAAACGCTCGCAAACAACGCAACAATTTGCTTTACTTTATCAGCAAAACTGATTTTGAAAAAATCCTACAGTGGCAACCATGACACCATTTGTATTTTCTTTGTCAAATGAATTTGTTATGTCAGTACTGCTGGTGAAAGAATACTCTGGTAGTGCTAAATTAGAAATCAGTAGTAATATATACAGCGTTTCTCCTTTGGCATAGCAAAACCTGAAAAAGCTCTGGGTTGGAAAACATAACTTGCTAGATGCTAGAACTAGGGTTAACTTTTTTACTATGTTTAAAGTAGATTAAATGAAAAATGCCTTTTAAACACTTTTACATCACAATCCCCTGTCATATTGTGCATACTTTTTGTATCTTTATATCCAAGGCCAATCATCCTTTTTGTTGTATAAAACTAAATGACTTAATGCTCACGTAATCTAGTGCCAACCAATGATATTGTGTCATCAATCCATTAATTAATCTGACCAATTTGGGGTGTGTGTGGAGCCAGTTCTCTGTAGCTTTTAACCATGCAACATTCTAGGTGTTCCATCTTTTTAGCAGTCCACCATTTAGATTCAACACCCAAGGCCAATGTAAGAAGTAGCCTGCCTCTCGTAGTGAATTGAAAAAGTCATGGTGTTGAGAGAGGGGTGGTAGATGGACAGGTAGCACACCCGATTTTCTGGGGTTTGTGGTTGTTTCGAACCCCGAATTGTTTGGTGTGTTACAGGTGTGTTAAGGTGTAACTTTCAGCACATAAAAGTTGCAATGAACAGATAATCAATTCAAAAACCCTGCCACTGAAAGTTACAAAATGTTGGTATTGAAAGGAATTCAGGTCCGATCAATATCAACATTCTTTCTGGAGGTAGGGATAATCTGCGGTCAAATTCTTCCTTTGACCAAAAAGGATGGGCAGAAATATTGTATATGGAAATCTAGGAATTGCCAGTACGTTTGAAGGGTGTAGTCTTTGTGAGACCCGATGGTCTTGTTGTGGGAGGTTTAGCCTACTAGCCTTCACGACTCTTGAGGAATAAAATGAGGTAGTCTGGCCAAGAGCGTCTAGTTATACCCAATTCAGTTTCTGAGTTCTCCTGTTTACATAGACCCGAGGCCCTTCTGGACCCCTTTTAAAATCCCTATTAGCATGCTGCTCTAGTACATGTGAGCTTCCTGGAGGACAAAACCGGTATTTAAAACACCTCAAACTCTCAAATATACCGACTCATCACGCTGCTATTGTGTCCTGTACGATCACAGCTTTAAGCTTCCATTGAGAGTCTCAGTTATATAATTCATTACTTCTAATGGCATTGGCGTAAGACAAATAATTATTTTTAATTAATTTGTATCAGAAGCATTTTTCATTTCCTCAGTTTTTCCATGCTATTATTCATTCTGACATGCTCATGTAGTCTTCCCCTTTCCTAAAGCGTTTTCCTGCATCATGTTTCCAATATAAAGTATAAGCCATCATTACTCAATAATAATTCAGTGTCTTCTCTTATGCTCTCTCTCTCTGGGGAACGTGTTGTGTACGTGTATCTGTCTCCATGCTATCATTTATAACTATGTATTAATAATTTGACAACTTGTACAATGTCTTTTTAAAAAGCTGAGATGTGGTGAACTTCTAAGGTGGCTTCATGTATGATTGACTCATTAAACATTTCTTCATCTTTGATCATCTTTGTCGTTCCTTCAACGACGCCTTGTTCAACAAAAGTAAGAGATTGTCTTACTTATTCTTACTTAAAGGTCCCCTTTCCCTCCTTATCCAAGTATGTGAAGCCGCTTAAAAAATGGGTGGGTTAGGTTTTGGTTTCATACTTGACGTTAAATTCATCTTTGACGTCATGTGTGGGTTGTACGGCATTAGCAACAAACCAACCACGGTATTGCTATTTTTAGGCATAATTATGGGTCTCAGATATATACAAATATATTAAAAACATGTCTATGATATGTTTTGCTCAAAATACCAAACAAATCATGCATTTTAGACATCTCTCATATCCCTCTATTTCAGCCCTGTTAGAGAACTGCAGGTTCAGGGTCCTTAGCTTAAAAAAAAGCAAAGAGGAGCTTGTGTCTGCTCAGAATTCTACGAGATACTCAGCTAAATGCTGCCGTGATTAAATGCCATATCATGTTCAAAACCACATCAAGGATTATTTCTGAAACAGTATGGAGCTCAACTGCTTCTATTGCAGGTTTACCACGAGGTGAGTTCCTTTTTTTCTTTCCTGCTTTTTTAAACATACTCTCTCCAGTACAGGTTAGCTCTGAGTGTTAGCAATGCTTTCTAATGTAAATAAAGACCATATTATGTCCAAAACACGTTGCGCATTGTTTCTGATAGCAACTTTCTGATAGTGCCGTGGGTCCACATCAGTGTTGTAGTCAAGTCACCAATTCACGAGTCCAAGTCACTTTCGAGTCCCCACTTTTCGAGTCCGAGTCACCTAGGGAGAGTCGGAGTCGAGTCCAAGTCCGATTCACCCAAGGAGTGTCCGAGTCGAGTCCGAGTCACCTGTGTTCGAGTCCAAGTCTGAGTCACCCAAGAAGAGTCCAAGTCAAGTCTGAGTCACAAGTCTTCATGTATTAATCTTAGTGGATATATTTGTTGAAATGTAGCTGTAGCTCCTCTACATTGCCTTTATGGATAAGGTTATCGTTTTGCACTTTTATTTTGATTAATAAGATCGGGACTCTTATTTTGAAGGAACTTTTACCGGAAGTTAATGAGCAACGAAGCAGTTCCCATTTTGGACTCTCTAGAGGTTTCTCAATACTCAAATTTCCCCTCCTCGACTCCCCTCCTCGAGACTTGGTGCCGCCCATAGGAGATGCGAGCGAAGGACTGAGGAGGGGACCCGAGGAGAGAGGAGTGGAAGCAGCAGGTGGTTAGAGAAATGAGAACTCCTCTCCTCTGAGCGGTCATTTTAAAGAGACGTCCATTAATGATGACAGGAGGCACAGCAGCCCTCTGTCTGATGGACAGATGTGTTCATGATGACTTATATATTTACTTTTAATTCATTCACAGTGCGGTATAATGCGACAATAACAGGCTACAGATGCGGACATATACACACACATATATTTATATAAATACAATTTCAGAATCAAACAAGTATGAGAGCACTCTCATAATAACGTAACACAATCAGAGACTGGATATACCCCCCCCCCCCCCCCCCCCCCCCCTCTCTGTGGTCGCTGAAATGTGGAATTGAAATTACGGGCCAAAAGTTGTACAAGTATTAAAAGTAAGCATAGGACACCAAACCAACTGAGACCCGTCTGTCCGCCGCATCTACGCACTGTACAACACACACCTACACACTGTACCACACATACACCTACACACTGTACCACACATACACCTACACACTGTACCACACATACACCTACACACTGTACCACACACACCTACTGCTCCTAAACCATAATCAGGTATTTTATTATGTGAAGCACTAAATGGTCTTATAGAAAAATATGGACTCTTTGTTTAGATATCTAGGCCTACTAAACTAAAGCAAATAAAGAGAGTAGGCCTGTTATACTGAGTGATATATATTATACACACTGCTCTGCTTTCTGCATGGACCTCACAGCTGTTCTCACTGTAAACATCGCATTGCGATGAAAGCAGTTACTAATATAATATCCAGGGGATGCATGCAGAGCTGTCATTGGCTGAGATAAGTCCGGCCGTGCGTCACGCCTCCACCGTTCCCGGAAATGCATCCGTGGAGGAACCATCAGTGTATCCTCGGTTAGAGCTCCTCCAGAGAGCCTCCTCGATGCTCGATGTTCGGTCATCGGTGTGCATTTAGAGAAATGAGATGTCCTTCAACATGGCGCGCTGAAATTCATTTCCGGGTCACTACCGGAGGACCGAGGAGTCGAGGAGGGGAAATTTGTGTATTGAGAAACCTCTTCTGTCTTTGCCAGTCGCAAGAGAATTTGCGCTTCTGCTATATGGAAAAAGGAAATCGGACTGATGTGCACAAACTTGGATGTACTGAGATTCATAATTGCATCAACAACAGATGCAGCCTCGGAAAATCTGCCGCCAACAGAGGATGCATTTCAACAACATGTAAAGAGCAATGTTTCAGACAGCGATATGGTGTCACAGCCTGAACCCAAACCCTTGTTATGGAGTCCTGTTGGCAAGGGGTGGACTGTCAGAGATGGGGCCATTAAACCAGTGCCTTTTACAAAACCCCCAGCACCTACAGAAGTGAGAGACATTACTCACTTGTATTGCAAAGTGTGGAGAGAGTGGAAAGTGCCAGTGCCTCTCTGTTGGCCTTCCCTGTACAGAGTTCTGCACCTGCTGTGCAGAATGTCAAAATGTGTCCCCTAACGTTTCTGAGGAACCTGACATTTAACATTATATTCTAGTATCTAGTATTGTAAAGCACTTACTCATCACTGTACCCTGTATGCCAAGGCAGGTTTGCCATCACTTACTGTAAAGAGGCTCAGTCATTGGTACACGTTTATTTATAAATCTTTGTTGGGTAAACTCCTGTATTATATCTGCTCTCTGATAACACAGAGAGTTGCAAGCAGCTATTGTCTGAGATCGCATGATGTAGTATTGTTAGATGTGCCAAGAGCAAGGACTGTCTTAGGTAAGACAGCTTTTATGTGCGCAGCTCCACTTGCTTGGAACAATCTTCAGCAAGAATTGAAACTGAGCAATCTCATTCCTCTGCATGTTTTTAAAGCTAGGCTAAATGAAATGCTCGTTGATACTATGGCCACTTGTAAATGTCTATAACTATGTAAATGTATCCTGTAAATATAATGTATGATGTCCTTTATTGTTTTATGTTTCATGTGGAACCTATATGCTGCAGGTCTCCCTTGAAAAAGAGATCTATGATCTCAATGGGACCAATCTGATTAAATAAAGGTTTGAAATGAATTTAAATGAAATCTACTTGACCTCTCACAGAATTATTGGATGAATTGTATAATGTACTTTGAATTAAGGTTCCAGTTCCAATAAAACCTGTACTATTTACACCTATGTTTTAGAGGCTTATAATTTAGAACTAATACACTTTATTGTATTGGGTTATTCTTATTCTGACTATTTGGTGATCTAGTTCAGCCACCTGGTATTTCCCTCTCCAAATATAATGACCATCAGAGTGAGCATTCTTAACTTATAGGCTATTATCCCCCATTCGGAATTTGACTGTATCAGATAATGAACACTTACTTGGTGTTTATATAATCCTCACCAATTGGAAGTTAAAGTTACACGTTGGAAAGTGTTAATATTGTAACTCTTTAATAGTGTGTTAACACTGACAGTGTTGTTTTATAACAATTTGTAACACTAAATTGTGTTATTGCTTTACACTGGGAGTGTTGATTTATATAATTTAGAAAGTTGTTCAATTACACAGGAAAGTGTATTTTCTAACACTAAAATGTGTTATTCCCCTGCACTATGAGTGTTCATTTCGAACCTTCAGTGTTTTATATCTGAAATGGTATTATTTTACAATATTAATGTATGCACTGTACACACAAATTGTTACTGTAATTGTAAGAAAAACACAATCTCTATAGGTTAAATATATTTGTTGACTTCCACAAGACTTAATAAATATAATAAATAATTAGAAACCCTCAATGTTGTTGTTTTTTATTCAACACTTTACATTACAGTATCTGCACTAAACATGCGTCGTAAACATGTTACAGATAATGTATCTCTCCGCTCTCCTCTCTATCCAGCACAGCATAATGCACTTTTTTTTTCAAAAGAAACAACTTTGTCAGGACATGTGACAAACAGAGAGGATTAGTTTATGTACACAACTATACAGTATATGCACATTTAAAAATAAAACAATGGCACAACATATTCGCTCTCATCTCCACCATAAGCACTTTGTAAGTCAAACGGCATATTACAAGGCTTTCTGCTTTGATTACATATTTTTCATCACTTTCAAATACTTTGTAGGCATGACAATGTTCACTAAAATGGTCCACCACAAGCTTTTTCACAAGGAAGTAGATGGCACCATCAACTAAAAGGACCGTGTTTATTTTGCAAAAAACAGGCATTCCATCGTCAACCTCAATGCAAATGACTAGTCTTGTCCTGTACTCTGTCCCACTGATTGTTACCCAGTTAAAAGAGAAAATGTCTTTTGGTACAGCAGCATGCAGAGCTTGAGAAAACCTCTCACTATCCTCATCCAAATTAAATGGTTTCAGTGGTCCATATGCAATACTGTTTAAAGGTGATGTTTCCCAATGATATCCTATGGACATTTGATGTTTTTTGGCATGTGATTTGGTGATGTTTTTGAAGTTCTTTAGAGTGTTTTTGAAGACTTTGTGTTTTGCTTCAAATCTCATGCTCCACATACTGTATGTATCAGGGGTCCTATTTTTCTAATACAAGCTGGATAGTGTACCATAAAGTGATGTTTTGGAATTAGGTTTATATGTGGATACAACTGTTTGAACAAGTCATGATGTTCCATTACCAGATGTTTCAAAAGCACAGTCATGCCTAATGTAACAGAAGGAGAACATATAATAACAATAATACATTTTATTTCTATAGCGCTTTTCTTGAACCCAAAGACGCTTTACATTTGGGAGGGAGGGTAGACAAACAAAACAAAGACAATGC